TACCATAGTGAAGTTAAAGCTGGTATCTTTGACGGTCCTCAAATCCGTCGGCTCATCAGAGATCCAGAGTTTGAAAAGTCAATGAACAAAGTGGAACAGGAAGCATGGAATGCTTTTGTTCTCGTTGTGAAAAACTTCTTTGGCAACAACAAGGCCAGAAACTATGCTGAACTTGTCAACAATATGGTGACTGCTTTCAAAAAACTCGGATGCAACATGAGCATCAAACTGCATTATCTATTTTCACATATGGATCGTTTTCCTGAGAATCTTGGATCAATGAGCGACGAGCAGGGAGAGAGATTCCACCAGGAGATGAAGGAGATGGAGACCAGGTATCAGGGACGTTGGAATGCCGTCATGATGGCTGATTACTGCTGGACTCTAAAGAGAGACATCCCTGATGCTGAGCATTCCAGGGTATCCAATAAACGGAAGTTCCAGCCCTAAATTCTTAACAATGACGAACATTAATGACCCTTACTTAAGGTACTGTGTTTCAGAACGCTTTTTTCTCTTTGAAACCAATTCCGAATGAGAAATGTTCATAGAAATAAACCGATTATGGCACAAAAATTTTACTGATTTATTCACAAATAAAATAAAATAAACATTTAACTTAGCAGAAAAACTGGACCTGACCTAGAGAAACGGATGTCATTTTCCGACTCAGCGGTGCCAAATTATCATAAATCAGTTGTAAAAAATTAGGAAATTTCCTCAAAAATTTTTTTTGTTGCTCAGTGTAATCCTTTATTCCTTCAAAACAGTCAGCACTCTTATGTCGAGTTACTTTTCCCTAGTTCACCGTTTGTAAATTTTGAGAAATATTTAGCTGCTTGAATAGTTTAATTAAAATTTTTTGTTCAAATTAATACTGTAGCAGTTTGACGCTGGTAGAGTTGCTAAAATTTGACGAAATTAAACATAACTTAATTAAATTTGTGTCAAAAATGCGGGACGTACCACGAAAAAAGAACATGAAAAAAGAACTTGATGAAATATATCTCTGTTGTACAGCTAAAAAAGCGTCTAAAAATACTTTTATGCTAAAATATATAACACATTAAATACACAATTAATAAAAATCTAGCAGGCAAATAAGCTAATCCATCCCCAGCAGCGGCATATATACCCATGGTAGCGAACTTTAAAAAAATTAAATAGACTCAAACCAATGCTATTTAGTAGCAGTAGTAGCAGTAATGCTTTTCTGGAGGTTATCCAGAGAGCATGCTGTCAGGCATGCTAGCACAGCTGATTCGTTGATTGATTGTTGTTTATCCAACAATCAATGCCTGCTTTAAATTTGTTCATTGGTTGTGCCTCAACAAAGTTCATTTGGTAATGAGTTCCAAGTATTTGCGACTCTATTGAATAAGTAATTCTCTCTGCCTCTATGTTTTGTTAACTCTTTAAAATATTTCAAACTGTGACCTTGCGTTTTGGTTTTGACTATGTTAAAACGATTATTTAAATCAATTTTGTCAAAATTATGCATGATTTTAAACAACTGAATCAAATCATCTCTTTTTTCCACCAAGGTTGTTAATCCTAATTTTTTAAAACGATCTTCGTAAGCTAAATTTTTTATAAATGGAACCAACTTTGTTGCTCTGTGCTGGACTCTTTCGATTACCTCGCTATCACCCTTTAAATCTGGGGACCAAACTGATACTGCAAACTCCAACAGTGGACGAATAAAAGTTAGGTATAAAGTACGAAGCAATTTATAATCAAATTTCCCAAAAGATTTTTTATTTGACCAAGCATTTGGTTTGCTTTGTTTGATGCTGGGATGACTTGATTTTTCCATTTTAAGTCATTTGAAGATATCACTCCAAGATTTCTCTCGGATTCAGATTCAACGAGAAGTATTCCATTTATATACAGTGGACATTTTTTATTACCTGATCCGCAGTGCATAGCAGTGCATTTTCAATATTGAACCGTAGAAGCTAGTTAGTCTTGCGTCCATTTAAATGCCTCATTCAAATCAGATTGAAGTTTGACAACAATTTTATCTGACGATATTGCTCTCACGATGTTGATACCATCTGCAAAGAGTTTTGTTGTATTTTTCAGTTTTGTTGGTAAGTCATTGATGTAGAGAATAAAGACCAATAACGAGTCCTAAGGAACACCACTAAAAATTTCAGTCCAGTCAAAAATAGTTTCACTTAGAACAACTTTTTGTCTTCTGCTTTTAAGAAACGATTCAATCCATTTAAACACCAATCCATTTATTCCATAAGCATTTAATCTAGCTGAAAATCTTTTGTGTTGTACAGTATCAAATGTCATGGCAAAATCAAGCAGGACTACATCTCCTGGAATAATAATAAAATAATGCTGTTTAGTTGCTTTAAAATGTAATCTGGAACCGCACCACAAAATTTCAAAACATTTAGTTTATTTATTCATTCATTACAATTTGCAGTATATTTTTGATAGAAAAGATTCAATAACTTTAAATACAATGGCATTTTCAATTCAAATTTTTTATATTTTTTATTCGTTTTTTCGGCTCACTGAACTTTTCAAGTATTCCTAATGTGAATTATTAATTTAAATGTAATAGCAAACCCGGTGAAAAAAATGAAAAAACAATAATCATTTTCATTGAACTGTGACGTAAGTGTTTACAGAAGAGATCAACATAATCAATAATCAAACTACTCACAAAAACTTGTCATTAGTAAATTCCGACCTTGAAATTTTAAACTTGAACACTTTCTTGCGTCTATGGTGTTAACAGTTTTTAATCATTTGTAGAAAACTTAATTCAAAATAATCAAAATAAGAAGTATTGCTGGCTCTAACTCAATATTTAATTTTAATATAATTATTAATTACGGAACCTTGTAGTTTCTTAGCGCAAATTCATTTTACTTAAATTTATTTTTTTTAAATAATTTCGCTGTCAATTTAAGAGAATATGGTGAAGAATAAAAGTCCTAAAAGTAGCACTGGATGTTGTGGTAACGACAACAAAGTCAGTTTTCAGTGTTGTTTGTGCATGTACACATGCTGTTGTTTCGTCTTCATGTGTTTGTAGGTACAAGAAAACTTAGATAGAGACTGTTAAAAATAAAAGGAATTTTGTCATAAAAATTGACTTTGTTTTAGAAAAATTAAAAAATATGACATTGGAAGATTTCAATAATAATATTAACTGATTAGATTTGATAAAAAGCTACTAATGTCCATTGATAACCGAATAGATAAATTATTTTTGTAAATTTAATCTTTTCAATTTTTCAGTCAGTTTGATTAGTGAACAGAAAGTTTTCAGTTTTAAAATTAAAAATCTAAAAATTTAACTGACACGCGTCGCATAAAAAGAAACTTATTGTGAGAAATGTAGAATTTTGAAATCGGTTTTGAAATAACTCTACGTTTCTCCCATAATTCTCTAGTAATTATTAAATGTTATAACAAACATTATGTAACAAAAAATTATCAACAACTTTGTGAAAAAACTAGTTTTTACAAACAATTTTCTATATAAATCCAAATTTCTCGTGAGGTCTTGCAGCACCAAAAAACCCCATTAAATAAATGTTACTTCTATATACATACATTACAATCATGTTACAAAAACATTTAGAACCAACGCTTTCATATTTTTTGTTCAACCTCAGTCAAAATGCATTGCAATTATTATTGGTTGTATTTATTCGCAACACTCCTTACTTAACGCCGAAGACCGATCGGCAACGTTGTTGTGACGGTGTTCTAATGCCAGGAGATCCTCACCCATCACAATCAACATGTGCCATGCTTTGATTCTGCATGCTTTGCTGATTCATCTGAAAAATAATTCAGAAAGAGAATTTTGAAGATATTACATTTGGTTTTTCGCATATTTTTTCAACGTATAACAAAAATGCTCCTGACTTAAACCGGTTTTATTTATGGAAATTAATTTATTAATACATTTAACGTACATTTCTACTTAAAGAGTTTGAAAGCAAGGAAGCGAAGGAGCAATGAAGTGGACCGGAAGAATGTTGACGGTGAGCCGTCACTTAAGAGGTTCTGGTGGCTGCTTCAAGAAATATTATTAAAAATGATGAAGTTGTGTTTCGTCGTTGTGAAAATGTTTCAGTCACAGTTATTGTTTAAAATATTAATATCATCACGTGGTCTCCAACCGCGCCCCCTTACAAATATCCACTCGAGCCTTCATCTCGGCGGACTCCTCCCTGGTCGGGAGCCGCCACTCTACACACACACACACACACACACACACACACACACACACACACACACACACCAGACTCTCTCAGGGTCTAAAAACACGGGCCGGCGAAAGTTTTTTCGCGCCCTACTTGTTGACCAAAGGCTCAGGCCTAGTCAACTGTCAGCACGTCTTTTCAGCGTTTATTGTTTTCGATGAACTAATCCAGCCAAGCCAAATCTCCGTATATACTTCTTTGATTAAATAAAAAATCAAACAATAAAAATCAAACCTCTGTCAATATATACAAAACAACAATAATAATAATTCAAACCGCAATGTATTAAAATTAACCAGCAAATAACTAACAAATACTGAAGCAACAGACTAAAAACCAAGAGGGCATGTCTTTTAACTCAGCCTTTAACAGGTTTTTGACTGTCAAACCTATATACTAACTTTCTATAACATTCGTAATGTATCTAACATTCTATAACAATCGTAATAATTCGATTTTAATTTATACTTCTTTCTATACGTCTAGAAATTTAAGCAGTCATGCCAGCTACGCTGCTTCTTTACTTCCTATTTACAGGACAAGTTGCAAGCGTCGAATATATGACAAAGATAGTAACTAAACACCCATACATAAAACTGTTCATTTAAATGTATACATACACAGGCGGCAAACTTCAAAGGCACAATTTTTATCGCTATTAATAATAATAATAATTTTTATTGCTAATAATAATAATATTGTTATTATTATTATTATTAGATCGAAAAAAACGACGTCAAACCGGCAGGTGTTTTGATTAATATTGATAACATTATTTCTTCATTACAGTGCTTTTAATTTTACTGAAATCTTTTGCTCATCAACATAAAATATCAACATTTTCATTCCTTTATCATGTTCATCTTTATCGTCATCATCATCGTCATCATCGTCGCCGCCATCATTATTCCAATCTTTTTTAATAATTTTTATCATTTCTATATATGTAATACCATCACATCACCATAGCATCATCATCACCAACATCATCATCATTCACGAGGCATACAGAAGAAGTAGTAGTAGGAGTAGTCTGCAACCAATCCGCAACGAGAAGAAAAAATCTGACGATAGAAAAAAACAAGACGAAGAAAACGCTGGAACCAGTTGGAAATGGTTGGTGATTGTGATGATGCATGGATGATGATGTATGGATGATGATGCATGGATGATGATGCATGGATGATGATGCTTGGATGACGATGCATG